GAGGGAAATCAGGCCCCCTCACCTTCAGTATGCAGATGATACATTAGTATTCTACAATGCTATAACATAAGAGATTCACAATCTTTTCCTATTTCTCTGCTGCTTTGAATATGCAACCAGCTTTAAAGTCAACTTCAACAAAACCAAGATGATGGAGGTAAATGTGATCCAACAACCCTATCCACCTTTGCCGAAAGATAGGGTTGCAAGGCCGAAGCTTTGCCTTCCAAATACCTAGGTCTGCCACTCTACTTAGGCAAACCAAAATTGAGATTGTCGTCTCATATCATAGACAAAGTGGACCGTAGACTTGTAGGATGGAAGGGTCGCTTCCTTTCTCCGGGAGGAAGATTAACTGTGATCAAAGCCATTCTGGCTAACATCCCGGTCTACCAAATGTCTTTATTCCGCATGCTCGTGGCAATAAGCTGCAGGTTCGAACAGTTAATGAGAAGGTTTTTCTGGTCCGGTGATGGAACCAACAACAAATTTTACTTACTTGCTTGGAACAAACTTTGCCAATCTAGGCAAAGGGGAGGACTAGGAATCAGAAACCTTAAAACTCAAAATTTAGCCCTCCTCAGTAAGTGGTGCTGGTGCATGACGAACCTGGGGAATCAGCTGTGGATAGATATACTCAAGCACAAATACCATCTTCCCAATACATGGCTACCAAATTGTAGGACCAACCAAAGATCTTCAGGCATTTGGAGGTCGATCAGTTCAACCTTCCACGCCTTCAAGTCCCGATTAGATTCCATCTGAGATCAGGTAACCGTATGCTTTTCTGGCAAGACCTATGGTTAGGCCACACTCCTCTCAGCGACAGGTTCCCTGATTTCTATTCTCTGCCTCGAGATCAAGGGGCTACCATAGCGGATGAAATGCTATTGGCAGGGTCCTCTCGCTCGTGGAACCCAGTATTCAAGAGAGCTCTTAAAGACCCGGAGATTGGGAGCTTCACAATTTTTTTTTTTGGTTTTTTGATAAATTGTGAGCTTCACAAACTTAGCAGCAAAACTACATGCCTGCTTCCTTTTACCCACAGGTCCCGATCATATGATTTGGGCACCTGCTCCTTATGGCCTATACACGGTTTCCTCTTTCTATTGAAGCCTTTCTTTGCCCCTACTTTTCCTTTGGCACTTGTGGCCATAGCTGCTCATGCCTGAGACTCCTTCTTCTCCCCCCCCCCCCCCCCTTGCCCTGCCAAATCCAGATCTTCATGTGGCTAGCTCTCTCTCAGAGATTCCTCACAGTAGATCAGTTGCAGAGAAGGGGTATTCCAATACCCAATCGATGCGTCATGTGTCAAGCAGCTGAGGAAACAAATAATCATCTATCGCTGAATTGTCCCTTTGCCTTCAATCTTTGGGGGGCAATTCTCAAGCTATTCAATGTTTAGTGGGTGCTACCGATAGAGGTAACATCCATTTGTTCAGCCATCAAACCCTATCCTTGGCCAAAGGCGGGGATACTGCTCTGAAAATCCTCAGTGGCAGCTAATCTATGGCCCATATGGATCGAGCGCAACAACAAAACATTCCGGGGAGAGTACTCCCCTTGGAACAAAGTTTTTAACAAGCTCAAGTCCACAATCATCTTCTGGGCAACCAACCATCGGAGCTTCAAAGGAGTTCCAGTATCGGTTTTCAGCCACGATTGGAGCAATGTCCTCCAAGTCCATCGAGTGCGTCTGATCAGGACCACTAGGTGGAAGCCCCCTACAGTAGGAGAGATCAAACTGAATTTCGATGACTGCTCCATCGGGAACCTGGGCCCGTCAGGTGTAGGAGCCATGCTTAGAGACCACCTCGGCTCTACACTAGCCACAGTATCCAAACATATTGGCCATACCAACTCTATGGAAACCGAAATCCTCGTGCTTTTGGAAGGCTTGAAACTCATACAACCCTTCCACCTGCACTCTTTAGTGGTGGAAGGCGACTCCAAGAATACCATTTCTTGGGCTCAGAGACTTTCTTGCTGACCCCCCTGGATCCGGGTGCAAGTGTTTGACAAGATTCATCAACTTTGCAAGAATATGTCCATTGTGTGGATGCATACATGGAGAGAAGGAAACCAGGAAGCTGATACGCTCGCCAAAGAAGCAGCTACGATGGCGGACAATTGATATTTTTTGGGTTTCAGCTTTTTTGGACTGTTCTATTTTTTGATCTTCAGATCGACCTATTTTATTAGGTTGCTACCCAGTTGTAACCTCCTAATAAAGGACTTGATCCTGCCTTTTATTTTGTCTTCCCTTGAGGATCCTTTTCTGTGAATTGCCAAGGTCTTTTGTACTCTTCTTTTCTCTCTATTAATTTAAGGTTAACATTATCAAAAAAATAAAAAAATCCAAGGATTCAATAAAATTTTGGCAATCATATTGATGTTGTGGATCTTAGATTCAATATCTCTAATTGCAATTCCTAAAAATTGGAAGCGAGGTCTCATATTGGTTGAACGACGGTCTTGTACACTTATGAATCGCAAAATTGGGTGATGTGGCATCTAGATTTCAAAGATATTGGTACCAGATTCAAAAAATGTCGAATCGTGATTCTTAACTTCCAGGAATCAGGATTTGTAGCAATTCCTTCATAGAAGCGAGGAATAGCAATTCCAAACTAGAATTTCTACCTAGGGTGGACAATTCTGGTAACTATAGCTCCAAATGATCCAAATGCCTACCTTGGCCTGGAAGAGCAGCCCAGGTCTAGTGTCTTCTACCCCAAACTGATCAAACGACGGAGAAGTAACGGGAATCTAACTTGGTCTTCTATGATGACCAGGACATTACATTAGCATCTACGGACAAGGTGAAGCACGTCTCTTTTGTTGTGGGACTGTTAGAGCCCAGACATAACATGTCACTATTTTCATTAGGGCGAAGGGTTGGGGCATGAAGATGCCTGTGGGAGCATCTGCATGCTTGTTCTTCTATTAAGGGAGAGCACCTATGGGAGCATCTGTGTGCTTGTTCTTCAGGTAGGGAAGAGATTTTAATTATTTGGACAGGTGTTGAGGACTCATGTTCACTACAGCTAATCTAACAGCCCAAGTTCCTGAGCTCTGTAACACCTCTTCCTACGGCTTTAGCATCTTCGCTTGCATTTTCTTTTGAAAGAGTTGCCAATCTCTCTGGTTGACTCATCATTCCTAGAAGAAATTTCAGTTCATTGTTTGAGTATTTTGTTATCAAGTGTCTTCACATTTATTAATTCAGGTGTTTAGAAGAAAGACTGCAGGCATGGATCAACATGCCTTCTTGATATTTTGCAATTTCTTCATATGTGAAGATTATCTAGAAGAAAGAAGGCAAAAGATTTATAAATACGAGAAGTAAGGAAAGGTGTTATGATGGTGTGGGAGGACCTGGCCAAGGAAGATGAGACGTCCCTCCTCGAAGGGGTGGGTGACCTCCACCTTCGCATGGGACAAATGATTATGCTAATGTCCCTAGCCCACTTACATATACATATAATACGGATACAATTCAAAGGGCTATCGGGCTATGCAAGAGACATAAGTGTTAACAAATCTGAACTGTCCAAATGGTTGTGCAAGGGAGGCTAAGAAAATACTTGTCTACTATCTTGGTCGAATTACAGATAAGTGTGAAAGTTGGGAGAAGATAGAAGACCTTACAAAGAAGGATAACAGCTTTCCCAAGGGGGAGAAAAAAAAACCAAAAGAAACAGCCCAAAAAGGGCATGCATGAGTACATTCATGTTTAGAATGTGGAATGGGGGCAATAGTGGTCACAAACTCGGCTGGTTCAACTCGGAACCAGCCAGTTAGATCGGAATCTGGCACTGGCCGGTTTTGGTGATCCGGCCGGGTATTTTAAAAAAATTATATAAAATCCTAAAAAATAAGGGATTTGTTTGTAATGTGTTTTTTATTTTATTTTTATAGTTTTGGCAAAGATTGGAAAGTGTTTTCGCCATGAATACTTATTTTTACATTTTCCCATATTTTTTGGAAAATTTAAAAAATACCACTGAGCATAAATTGATTTTTTTAAATCCATTTGTCACTAATTTTCAACTTCATGTGGATGTACTTTGTTTAATCGTACTTTAAATATTCTTTTCATATTTTTTTAGATTTGTTTTGTATTTGTTTCATTTTTTTAACACTCTTTTGACAGGCCGGGACTTGCCTGGTTAGGCCGGTTGAACCGGCTACTCGAAACCGGCCCTTGGCCAGTTTATGAGGCAGGTTCGATTTTTTGAACATTGGTGAGCAATGACCAATTATTAATGTAAGGACAGTTTTCTGCATATAATTTCTTTGAAATCCATTATCAAATTAATTTTGTCTGTAATGAGAAGATCCATTTCTTAGTTTTGCTCTTTCACTCGGTTCTCATCTCTAGGAGTATTTAGAAACAAGCCCTGTATACTTGTCCATAACTCATTATTTAAATCCGCCTACTATTTAAAACAACAACAAACAAACAAACAATCAAAAAAGAGCTGTAGACAGAAAACGCCTGACAAAAGAACCAGACCAGTGAGCAAGAACATACAAGATTTGGCTTGATGCAGAAGGCTAAAACCAAAGAATACAACACAAGCAGATATAGGATAAGTAACAATCTATAGGATAAGTAACAATCTATAATTTAACCAGCATGCTGTGTCCAGACAATCAATGCTAACAGCACCACAATATGTTAAGGAAAATGATGCAACATCAATCAGGAACTAGGAACTAGGAATTGGGCTTGAGCAGTTAGCAGTTGACATCAGGCAATGCTACATTAAAAGTTCAATTGCTACCGTTGAACCAACCAAAAAGAAAAAAAAACATCAATCAGGAACTTGACATATGACATCAGATACTCCTGTTTTAGTCAGTATAACACTCATGATGTAAAAAGGAGGTATTACATGCTGAAGACAAACAAAAAAGAACCTTGGTTTTTTTCTTCCCTTGAAAGATGTGGTAATGTAATACTCTAGTTTAGGTACAAGTAGACTCTCGCTCACCTTCTTTGTCGGCAACTCATAGTTTATTAGAACACGAGCAGGAATTGGTGCCTCTCCAACACCAATCATGGGCAGGCAGGCGTCGGTTACAACCATCATATAAGATCGTTTCTGTTCACATCCTGACTCAGACTGATCCGATGGAAGGTCATCACTCCTTTTATTCCATTGTGCTGCTACTTGCCGAAAATTATCAAGTATAGATGCACGCTCACTTTCTGCAAGGTCACTATACTGTACAGAAGATGACTAAGACTTTATTAGAAGACAAAGATCATAGCATTAGTAGTCAAGCTAGATAGATTAAACCAAGACAAGGTCCCCATTCTTTCAAGGTTTTCATAGTTTTGGTAACTCCACGAGCAATAATTTTAAATTGAGGAAGTGATCTGCATAATCAGATACTTGATAACCCAAATACTAATAATAACCCACATGATATGCATTTGGTCGGAACATGGTTAGAAAAATAAGGACTATGCAGTCAGCAACACAAAAATAGCAATAATTTTCAAGAATAGAGCTTAGCGAATGCATGTTATGTAAACTACTTCATGGCCACGCATTCAAAAGATCAAGAAGTGAATATCTAAAGATGATTCTCTCTCATTTCTGGAAGAGGCATGACTACCAAAATATGTTTACAATAGAAAGTACACAAAAAAATGAATAGGAGACACTTCGAGCTACCATTTTTGTCTTGGACCTTCAGCAACATGAGATCATACAATGTAGCCCGACTTGGTTTATTGCTTGTTAAAGAGTATATTCAGCAAGAAGAAAAGAAAAGGAAAAAAAAAACACCACATTTTACAATCTAAAGTTTTTACACATAGAACCCATATCATCAATATAGAATGATAATTTGAAGAGGTGCTGAAATTAAGCCTCGACCTTGGAGTTCATATAGTTTCTTAGCTTACATAGATTATGGATGTTTAGCAGCGTGAGATGATACAATGTAGCCAATGACAGTAAGTAGAAGATTCATTTGAAAAAAAAAAAATAGAAGGAATATTCATTAAATAGACGAGAAAAAGTACAAAACAAAGTAGCAAAATTTACAATCTATCGAGTCTCTGAGATAGAGTCCTGGGAAGAGTATCGCCCCAATGTCATCTGTCAGGCTTGCAAGGTCATGCCCTCCATTAAAAGTGAACCCCCTCTCTCACAGTATCTTTACCCATTGTGCTTCATACATAACTCCGCTGATGTCCAATACAAGGCGAATGAAGACGCTTATGTGCAAATCAATGATCCGGTCAACTCAAATAATATACTTTGCACAGGTTCAACCCCATTCCTCGAATGCTTCATCAACATCTCTTTCTTATGATTCTTTCACTTGTGCTTTTATATTGTACTTTCCTTTAGTTCAAGAAATAAATAATAAAAGAAATAATCAACAAGACCCACATACCCTAAATTGGACAAGGCATCAATGACCTTATCGGCTTTTATGATGTCCAAGTGAAAATATATATATAACAAAACTCCTTACACATCTGTAATCTCCAGAAACATATCGAGTACACCTTAACTAAAGGCGAATCCCTACCAACCGACCAACTAAAGTCTAGGGGTGGTAATGGGGCAGACTCGTGCCAGGCTAACAAAACTCCTTACCCATCTGTAATCTCCAGAAACATATCAAGTACACCTGAACTAAGGGTGAATCACTCCCAGCTGACCTACTAAAGTCTAGGGGTGGCAATGGGGCAGACTCGAGCCAGGCTAGGGCTGGCCTTGATCTTCAAGGCCCAAGCCCAGCCCAATGGTCCACATAAGTTGGGCCAGGCCAACTGGCCCATTGCCACCCTTAATAAAGTACTCAGCAACCCACCAACTGTGATCTCTCTTTGCTATACATGCAGGTCCTTGCAAGGTGAGGTGTGTAAATCTGCTAACTATTGTGGGATATGAGCACATGAATTCGAATTGTGTTGCATCATTTCACATCTTCATAGTTTGACATGGTTCTAACGGATAAGGCTAAACATGTTTTCCTGGTGTAAGCAATTACTCTAAGGGCGTGTTTGTTATTCTGAAAGTATTCTTTCAGATTTTTAATAAAATATATAAAATAAATTATATTATATATTATATTATGTTATATATTTATATTTATATGGTTAATATATAAATGCTATCAAAGAACCCAGAACTTTCTTAACATTCCAGCAGGTTATCGAACACAATACCTAGAACTTATTTAAACCTTCCAGAACAAAACATTCAACTTTCCAGAAGATATCTTTCAGAAAAACAAATGCGCCCTAAGAGATGTCACTTATGTAAAAAACAAGAAAATTGGACTTTTTGGACACAACCAGATGAATTTTAAATACCTGTGCGCCATATGGAGGGGATGATGAAACCTGAGGGACCTTCACTTGTGAACCATTGATTGGCCCTAAAGCTTTAGAACTAACTAAATTAAGGCCCTTTTTCCTGAACCATTCAATATACAAATTAAGGCCCTTAACTAGATGTAGAGATCAATATCAACTCCTACTTGCTTTAATTACCAAACTATTCCAACCGCCAGAAACTAATACGTGCTATCAACTCACACCGAATGCATGAACTAAGAGCAACAAAGTCATGTAAATTTCTGAAAACCAATAATCGAAGTGATTAAATGAAACACATAAAACATAAAAGCTTCAGTAACTACCATACAAGTTGAGGAGATATATGATAAGTTCGACACAGTGGCACAAACTGCATCAAGCTCATCACGAGAACTGCAACACAGCACAATTGGCAAGGAAGATCTTCTCCCAATCACGTCCAACAAATCAACCAATGTTTCCTGTATAATTTAAAGAAAATAAGTTCAACATAAACCAGTTTCGTGTATATAGGTAAGAAAAAAAAAATATATTAATAATACATAAAATAACAACCAGCTACTAATTGGCACAATCAAGTTCTTTTGCCACTTTGTTGTCTTTTTTTTTTAATAATGTTAACTTTTGTATTGAAGAGTAATAAGTACAAGAGTAAGCAGATGGATCCCACAAGCTGGGCCACTCGCCGAAAGAATAGACTGCCCCAGAAGGGTAGCCCTATACAAAAAATGATTGGGGCCTAAAGGCAAAAAACCCCAAAGTAGCCAAGGCAGAAAACCAAAAGAGGACTAGTGTCACTGTCCATTGCGCCACCTTGTTGTCAATTATGGTAATATGTATCAAACTGTAATTGACAATTTTAAAGAACAATTTTAGGCACAAGATAACCATATTCAAAGATCATATAAGTAGCATCAAAATCAAAAAGCTAAAGACGGGCAGAACCTTTAGGTCTTTTCATTATATGTATGTCAAAATTACACACATGGACAAAGATAGCACATAGACAGGTATATCACAAATGACGTGCAAAAGACTAGGATCTAAATATGAGTCTAAAACACCTTGATATTAAACACTATTGCAAGACTCCTCAGATGGTGCATAAACATCAATCATGCACAACACATTTAATATGCCTGATAAAAGACAAGTTTTAGGGACTTTGTGAACAAGTCTTTTTCTTTTTCTTTTTTTGGATAATTGCCTTCATGAATGTTTCAAAAAACTGATCTTCTGACTTGTACATAAGGAGTGCATACATTTTTTTTTTTGGTGACAGAAGTTTGTGTTTGGGGTTTTGTGGCCTTTAAGGCCGTAAGAGCATATAAATATAATGAATTATAGTGTATTGTGCACTTCAGTGGAATGTGTGATGGTTGGTTGGGCAGTATATGGCCTAGCTCGTGACCAAAACCCTTTCCCCTAAGCATAGGCAATACCGTTGAGGGTTTATTGAAGGTCATTCCTTGTTGAGGTCGGAGAAATGCTCAGAGACGTTTTTAGAGGGCCAAATCCGCAACAAACTTCCGCACGTCATGTGCATATGATACCTGCATTTTTGGAAGCAAGCCTACAAAGGGATACGTATACATATGCATAGAGAGAGTCCCCCTTGAACTATAGTGATGTGTGCATGTGTAGTCGATATATTAGAACCATGTATCCACACTCTAGTGGCCAGCTTTGTCGGGTCAATCATGAGCTTATGCACATGACTATGGATCATGGCTCCCATTGGGTCGGTTTGAGAAGACAATTGTGGATTATGGATCTTGGCATGATAGTCACTTGCTCTTGACTTGTTGGTACCAATCCCCTTATAGAAGTATTTTTGCATGTTTCAGATTTTTTATGAACTCCAAAAATAATGTTTTCAATCATAGATATACTTATGTGCTTTTCATAGTTTTGAATTGTTTTAAATGAACAAAAAGCCCTTAAGATTATTTCTGAAATTTTTCTTAGAAAGCGGGTGTTTTTGAAATTTGTTTAAGTATGGTGGGACCATGTGGGGGGAGTAAGGGCCTAGCCCCTACATGTGTGGAACCGACATGGTGTGGGACGTGGGGCCCACAAGGACCACACGTCCCACATAGTAGGACACCCCATTTTCCCAATTTGTAAAAATATTTTGTGAAATATTGTAGGAATCTAGACTATAAATTTTGACCAACTTTTTTGTTTTTGAATTCCTACATATGCCTTTGTGAAAGAAGGAACTTTAGATAATTTAAGAGCTATGATTTGACTTGTCAAAATCTAGATAGAATAGAAGTAAATATGGGTCAAAGACTCGGGGGATAAAGTTCCTAGAATCCTCCCTGAATCATGATGGTTGATTTCAAGAATGGATGGCTCAAATTATTTCTCTCAACTCATAGATTACCTAGATATCCTTAGATAATATTCAATCCTAATCTGATTGGAAGAACCAAGGACCCTTGAGGCCTACTTAAGGAGGGGAACCCCCCTCATTCTCAACACGGTTTTCAAATCTCTTTCTTCTCTCTCTCTCCTCCATGCCAATCTTCTCTCTCTCTAGCACTCTCTCTCCACTTTCTAGGTGGCACACCACCTCCATAAGGATATTGTGGTGACACACACCACCCAAGAAATAGACAGAAGGGAGCATGCCCAACCCTAGACTAGACTAGGGGAGGTGTCACTTAGTGGCATGCCCCAAGTCTTAAAATGGTCTTTAAGAAAATCCTAATTATTGCCTATAATCTCAACCTCATTAGTTTTCCGATTAGGGTTTTCCAAAGGTGCTTCCTAGTTTGGTAGATTCCGCACTACCTAAGGATTATGTGTGCCATCGGTTAGGTTATTGGGGGTGGGGTATGCTAAGCCTTAAGGGTACAACCCTAAACAAAAGTTTAGTAAGTCTTCCTAATTTTATTTACTTATTTATTGTTCTTGTTTCATATTTGTTTTCTTAATCTGTAAGTTCGAGTTCAGATTTGAAAAAGTTCTAGTTTTGGAAGTAGGATTCAAAGATCTTAGACTATAATAAGGTTTATTTTCTGCATTGTATTGTGGCAATCATAAATAGAATTCAGTTATTAATAAAGAAAAGAGAATATTTTCGACCTTATACTTAGGAACTCTACTACTTTGGAACTCTACAAAGCCATGCCTTTCAGTGCATACTTCACAAAACACCACAACCTTCTCTTTCACAGGATAACAATCAACATTTTTAGGAAATACATACACTGGTACATATGGTCATAGGTATAACAACCATGCGGTTTGTCACTGTCCAATCAATGGTTTGGGTGGGGATGGAAGAAGAGAGAGAATACAACTAAATAATTGACATGTTTAGTGGGACCCATTGCCCTTCGTCATAATCCTACCTATTGATGGGACAGTGATAACCTTGGGGTCACACTGTTATTATGACCATTTGTTACTTGGTCCTTGCATGGAAGACCAGGATTAGAAGATAGAATGGCAGCTTAGTTGTCAAAGTGAATCTCCAAAAGAAGATGGACCTCGGAACCAATCCCTCTAAAATGGATTAATTATATAATCTCAAATTGAGAGAGCTATTGCGCTATGCCCTTCCTATGTACAAGATCTCCAAACCATAGATTATTTCTAACCTTTCCATGTCCCTAGATTCCCAAAGAAGCAATAGTCTGAATTAAAGCACCTATCATAAATGCGCTAGCCCTTGCACTGTTTTGCAAATATTATAAATGAGTACACACATAATGAGAAACCAAAATTCCAAGAAGAGGAATATCGAGAATGAAGGAACCCATGAATTGTGTCCACATGCAGCACCCAACTTGGATGAATGATTAGACTCCCAGCTACCACCTCATCTACTAGATCTGTTCGAGTAATTGTCTAGTATAGGTATTGATAAGCACCTGCAGCAGCTCACTCTCATATTCACTTAGCAGTAGCAGTAGGAGTAGTAGCAGCAGCAGCAGCAGTAGTGAAGCAATAGCAGCAGCGGTAGTAGTGGTTGTAGTGGTGGCATTATGAGCCAATCAATAAGACCATCTTTACGAATTTACCCAAGAAAAAAACAAGACCATCTTAAGGAGACACATTCATTGGATTTTCGATGCGGCAGAGTGGTGAGTGGTGGTAGTGATGGAGATGGTGGTAGAGTAGTTGTGGTGGTGGCAGCAGAGTGTTGGTGCTGGTGCTGGTGCTGGTGCTGGTGCTGGTGCTGGTGCTGGTGCTGGTGCTGGTGCTGGTGCTGGTGCTGGTGCTGGTGCTGGTGGAAGAGTGGTGGGGTGTTGACATTTAGGTGGTGATGGCAGTGGTGGGGAGAGTGGTGGTGACACCATGGTAGCGGTGGTGGTTGTGGTAGTGGTCGTGGCTATGCAGTAGCGGTGCTGGAGGTGGTGCCGTGGTGGACTAGTGGTGGTGGTGATGCGGTGGTCACAATGGTGGTGGTGGGTTTTCCAAGGGGGAGAAAGCCCTTTTGAATTTCCTTTTGTTGGATTCCAGGGTGAATCCAGAAAGCAGCGGAGACACAAAAAGTGAAGGATTGGATGAAAATCATATACCTTTTTGAATTATTATTCCTCCCGTGCGGCTGATACAGTTTTTTTCCAATTCTTCCTTTCGCATGTGTCTCCTCCAATTCAAGAATTCAATGTTGCAACCCTAGGACGATTTTCGATTGCTAGAAACAAAAGTTCAACATACATAGTTCAAGTCCCATAACCATTTGATAAAACATGTTTATGTGTTGGGTACTTGTTTTGAATTTAGAGAGAGAAGAACTTACTTTATGGGAGAGAGAGAACACAAAGAGAGAGAGAGAGTCGCGCGAGGGAAAAGGATGCACCATCTCTCTTTACACCCCTTTTATATAAGTGGTCCATCCTTCCAAGATTCCCTCATCATGAAAGGTGTTATCATTTACTATAAGTCAATATCTTCAAGATATTTTGGATTTTCTCATTATCCAAAATGCTTCACCTAATCTTAATTCTCCTTATCTTATTAATCAAAGCTCCAAATTCCCAAAAAGTACTCCATAATACAAAAAGGGGAATGCAACAAAAAAATTCAACATCTCCCACTTGTCCCGCAGTGGATGGGAACATGTCGGGCTATGAGAAATTCTTCCATACGCTTATACGGAAATGAACTGTGAGATCTTAAGGAGCGACTGCATCTCTACAGACAGAATCATATTAAGTTTTCCATCAAAAACTAACATGGAATACGAGTACCTCTTCTCTCTAATAAATATAAAATGCTCCAGCCTGACTTAGACCCATTTGGTTACACCAACTTGAGTGCCTCAAATACCTCATGAGCTCTCTATGCTCAGAAGACTACTCCACCCCTTCGTATACTCCCACTTAGCTCATCTAATAAAACATTATTCTCATGTAATCCAAGAAATTCATATGCAAAAATATTATATTAAATTATAATATTCTCGTTTTCAAAAAACATTATGCAAAAGAACAACCAGGAT